CCAAAAGGCAATAATAATAATAATAATAATAATAATAATAATAATAATAATAAAACAAGCCAAATAACCAACCTTCGCATTAATATAACTTACAAATTAATCAAGAAATAAGCAAGATGCTGTGGCAGGTTCTGTAGGCAATATAAGCACAGTGTACTTACTGATTGGCATGGAAAAAGGTCTGTTGTGGTAGACAGGATAAGAATAAGTAAAAATTACGCAGGTGATTTGGGGATTGGGAGGAAGTTTCCAAGTTACTCAGAGATTTTCTTCAGCTAATTTGCTGAATAATAAAGGCTGAAAATAATTTCTTCTCTTTTTAAAATAATTCTATTCCCCTATGTGTAAGAGAAACAATATTAAATTCCTTCCGTGTATCTTGGGAAATTGAGCACATTGAGAACCCTGAAGCATTGGCCTCTTTATAATGGTTTATTGTGGGGTATTTTTGGTTTGGGGTGTTTTTCTTTTTCCTTTGGACGGAATCGGGGTTCTGAGCCATGAGAAATCCCCTGGGAAGTTTTTTCAAGGAGCATTCCAGTTCTCCACCCTTCCTCTTACAGATGCTCCCTTTGTTGGAGATAACTATGAGAGTAGGTGACTGAAGTAATAATAATTGCACAGGTTGTTTTTTTTTTTTTTCTGAAAAAAGTAAAAGGTTTAATCTTTCTGGAACACCATTCTTCAAAAATGGCATCTAGAATATTCTTTTACCCTTAGTAATTTCTGACTGGCTTAAATCTGCTATACTCCTAAAAAAGGTTATAGTTGGTGCCTGCTTCCAGTCATTTACCAGCGTTCCATCATCTTTTCTTTCCTCATTGCCAGTGAATTACTAACGGTGCTGATTCTTTTTCCTTTCTAGGTATCCTTGCTGGAGTACCGCAAAAGGAAACAAGAAGCCAAGGAGAATTCTGGTGGGGGAAGTGACTCTTCACAGAGCAAAAGCAAGTCTGCAGGAGCTGGACAGGGCAGCAGTAACTCTGTCTCTGACACTGGTGCCCATGGTGTGCAGGGATCCTCAGCCCGAACCCCATCATCCCCTCACAGAAAATTCTCCCCATCTCATTCCTCTATGTCTCATTTGGAGGCGGTAAGCCCGTCAGATTCCAGGGGCACTTCTTCCTCTCACTGCAGACCTCAAGAAAATATCAGCAGTAGGTGGTAAGTTTATATTTGATTACCTTCATAATTAAATTTAGGAAGGAAGTATACATTAGGAGCATTTGGGTTTTACCTGAAATGTACAGGAATACTTATCTGAGATAGGCAGCCACCGTTACCATCTGTCCTGCTCAGCTGATCAGTTTAAGCCACATCTTCAACCTTGCAAGCCTGCAGAGCCACACTGAATGACATGTAGTTGTGGGTGCCGTAAGCTATTGTACTTGGTGGCTCTTCTATTGTCTCAGTTCATGCAAAGGTAAGGAATCCAGCCAAGTTCCTTTCCAAAACAAAAAAAAAAATTATTTTCTGTGTGCATGCATGTGTGTGTAAGAGGATAGCTTGTGGGAATCAGTTCTCCCCTTCTACTATGTGGGTTCTGGTGATTGAACTTAGATCTTCAGGCTTGGCAACAAGCACCTTTAACCACTGAGCCATCTCCCAACTCCATGTTCCTTTTGAATTACCAACATACATGTCTCTGTTAGCACGTACAGATTGTGAGGTATTCTGAAAGGATTTGTCTGGTTCAGGAAACATCACAAAAAATAAGGAATACTAGTGACCGGGTCTGGATATTGACACAGGAATGTGAGAACTTTTTTCCGTGAAGTTTTTTTGAAGCAGGGTCTCACTGTATAGCCCATCCTGTCCTTGAACCCTGTCATCCCCTCCTGCATCTGCTCCCTTAGTGCTGGGATTATAAGTATGAGTTTCAAGCTAGGAGTACAGGAATCTTCTTTTTAGGGGTGGGTGGTATATGAGATCACATGAATGAATATAGAGGCCAAAGTTCAGTTGGTATCTTCCTCTATCACTCTTCCACCTTATTTTTGAAATGGGGTCTTTCACTGAACCTGGAGCTCACTTCAGCTATACTTTGTGACCAGCAGGCTCCACATATTCTTGAGTACAGAGATCTTCAACTGAAGAAATGTGTCTGGAACAGACAAGACTCAAACCATGATAGTCATTATTAATTAGCCTAAGAAACCTATAGTAAACTGCATATATGTCAGGCACATAGTTTCACAGAGGAGAAAATGCAGTATTTCAAAATGGAAATTAAAAGAAGTTAACTTTTTTTTTTTTTTGGTCTTTTGAGACAGGGTCTTCCTGTAGCCCAAGCTGTCCTAGAATTCACTATGTAGACCAGGCTGGCCTTGAACTCACAGAGATCCACCTGCCTCTGCCTCCCAAGTCCTGGGATTAAAGGTATGTACCACCGTGCCCAGCTTTTTTGGGTCTTTTTGAGACAGGGTCTTCCTGTAGCCCCTGCTGGATTGAAGGTGTGCTCCACCATACTCACCTAAGAAGTTAACATCATTAATCCACTTTTCCTTGATTTCTTCTTTTTCTCCCCACCTTTACCCTATACATGACAGTTTGAGGCAGAATAGATGCCTTGTTTTCAATTGGTTCTGAAGAAAATAATGCTGACATGTTTTAAGAGAATAATATTGTTTAACCTTTGTCAGGGAATCATTTGTGTGAGACTCTTGGCTCTTAATTCCTTTATCTTAAACTTATATCCTGGCACCTTTGCAGGATGGTTCCTACATCAGTTGAACGACTCCGAGAAGGAGGAAGCATCCCTAAGGTTCTCCGAAGCAGTGTGAGAGTGGCCCAAAAGGGAGAGCCATCTCCCACATGGGATAGTAACATCACAGAGAAAGATCCAGGTGAGCCAATGTCTATAGTTCACACCAAATGCTGGGATAAAGTGAGTCAATTTCCAACACTCTTGAGCTCTGCTCTATGCTAGTTTCCAGCTTAGTCTTACTCTGTGGGTCTATCGCATTCATAAGATCTAGCATTGCTTGCTCTCTGTCTGCTCTTTTCCCAAGGGATACTTTTCTGTAATTCTCATCTCTCCAAAGTCCTGGAGCTCCACTTCCATGAAGGATGAAGAGAAAGAAGGAGCGAAGAATAAGATCAGGCATTTAAAATATAGCGCATAATTAACCACTCATTTTGCCCTTCTGGCATGCTGAATTTATTTTATCACAAAGAGAGCAACATATGTTGATAACATTGATGGTTTGAATGAACAATGTCTATTCTTATTCTGAGAAGTCAGCTTGATTTTATAATACTTTCCAGACCCTGCAGATGGAGAAGGCCCAGAGTCACTGAACTCAGCACTGTCTAAAGGAGCAACCGTTTACAGCCCTTCCAGATACAGCTACCAGGTGAGAAAGCTGGCCTCTAAGCAAATGGCATGTGTTGTGTTGAGATGTTGTGTTCCTAGTCCTCATATACTGTCCAGGTGCTGATATTGCCTAGAGTTTCAGCAGCCCTGTAAGTCCCTTCTGCTCATCCTCAGGGATGTCAGTGAAGTAATCAGAGACAGACAGCCATTTTACTACTTTTGGTATCCTTTAAATTTTTTTCTTTAGTATAAAGAGGAAAAGTAGGCTATTGTAAATACTCAAAGGCTATTGGAGGAACTCTTCACTTCCCTGTGCTTTCCTCCCTATTCCAGCTCCTGCAGTGTGACAGTCCACGGACAGAATCACAAAGCCTCCTTCAACAGAGTTCCTCCCCCTTTAGAGGACATCCCACACAATCTCCAGGATACAGTTATCGAACTACTGTACTGAGACCTGGAAATCCTCCCTCTCATGGTTCTTCAGAGTCATCCCTCTCTTCCACGTCCTACCCCAGCCCTGCCCACCCTGTGTCCACAGACTCATTGGCCCCATTTACGGGGACTCCAGGGTATTACAGCAGCCAGCCACATTCTGGAAACAGCACTGGCAGCAATCTTCCAAGGAGGAGCTGTCCTTCTAGTGCTGCTAGCCCTACCCCACAGGGCCCCTCAGACTCACCAACCTCAGACTCAGTTTCTCAGTCCAGCACAGGAACTCTGAGTTCCACCTCCTTTCCTCAGAACTCTAGATCGTCATTGCCATCAGACTTACGGACTATCAATCTGCCCAGCACTGGGCAGTCAGCTGCCTACCAGGCCTCCAGGGTATCTGCGGTTTCCAATTCACAGCACTACCCACATCGTGGGAGTGGGGGTGTGCACCAGTACCGACTCCAGTCACTACAAGGGTCAGGAGTCAAGACTCAGACAGGACTTTCCTAGGGCTTCTGGATATGGGCAAACTGAACTTAACGAGCCCATAGCTGCTTCCTTCCAGCTGCCTCTGGAACCTAGGCCGAGCATATTGCTGGGGAAGAGGGGTACAAGGTGCCAGAGGATTGGGTCTGGTCGACAAGAAACGAGACTTGTGGTCATGACTGGCCTCTGGCCTTGGAGAAAGATGTAAATCTTGTCTGAAGCAGAGACTAAAGAAGTTTCTCCCTGCTGTTAAGGGTACATTGTTAACAAGCAAATGGTGTTTCGGTTAGTAACGGTTCTAAGTGCAATGAGTTGTGTTGACGCCTCTGTCTCCCATCCTTGCCTGTAGCCTGTAGTCACTTGTGCAGTGAGGACATCTTTTTAAATTAAAAAA